GGTGGATGTGCAGGGACGACTGGCGGTGGTCTGCAGAGGGACAGGGGGGGGTTGGCGCCCTGCCTGCCTGCTGCCTACCTGCTGCCTGCCTGCCCGCTGCCCCCCAGGCCCCACTCACACTCAAAGTCCTCCTCGCCGTAGCTGCGCCCAGCCTCCTCCGCGTTGCGGGGGTGCGTGTCGCACAGGATCTCCTCGAAGCGCTCCACACCCAGGGCCTTGTTCAGGTCCTTCTCCTCTTCCTCCTCTCCGAACGCAGGCGAGACGGCGCCCAGCGCCTCCTGCTCAGGCTGCAGGCCGGCAGCAGGGCTGAGCGGGCACTGGGCACTGCCGGCACTGCCGCCAGCCCCCAGCACACCCCAGTCACGCAGTCCCACGTGGTGGGCGCCCCGGACAGTGGCTCCCTGGGGTCCCCAAAGGCTCTGCACCCAAGGGACGTGCCTGCTGGCACACCGTGGGCCATGCACCCTGCCTGCGCCGGGGTGGGGCCCCCGCCATGCCATTTGCACTCAGTGCAGCCTGCGCCCCCCAGCCTCAGTGCTGCGCTCCAGTGCCGCGCTCCCCCCGCATGTACCCCAGCACCCTGGTGCCCTGCTCCCCGGTGCAGCCCGACCCAGCATCCCCAGCACCCTGGTGCCCTGCTCCCCAGTGCAGCCCGACCCAGTATCCCCAGCGCCGTGCCCTGGTGCCGCACTCTCCCTGTGAACCCCCGGTATCCCCAGTGCCCCGCTCCCCAGGGCGGCCCCAACCCGGCATCCCTGGTGCCGCACTCCCCCCACATGTACCCCAGCACCCCAGTGCCATGCTCCCCAGTCAGCCCAGACCCCGGACCCAGCACCCCCAGCACCGTGCCCTGGTGTGTCCGCACCGTGCTGTGTCCCCCCCGTGTACCCCCAGCACCATGCTCTGGTGTCATACCCCGCCCATGTACCCCAGTGCCCTGCTCCCTGCTCAGCCTGGACCTGGCGCCCTCATTGCTGTGCCCTGGTGCCGTGCCCCCACCACGTACCCAGACCCTGCACCCACGGTGCCCTGGTGCTGTGCCCCCGTCCCAGCGCTGCTGGGTGCTGCTGGTGCGCTCCAGCTGTGGGAGCTGGGGTGCAAGGGAGGGCTGCTG